CCGTTTGTTTGTTTTTTCTTATTCCTCAATACTGCTATCCGAGTGTTTATCCATCCTGATTTAAAAATATCAATTCGGATGTCAGACTAACTCGGCAGATCCCGAACTCCCTGATTAACTGTTCAACATCATTAAATTAGAACACGGTTAAGGTTGAACAGTCTTGTGTGACAAGCAGTCTTGCGCAGGTAAGGATCGCCCTGTAATAGTTTACATCTTCTTATTCACTTGTTTGAGTTTTGGGTGTTCATCCGTTTTACTGGCTTATTTGCGTGAAGTTGGTTGTTCCTTGTCGCTCAAGCAGATGCACTCCGATTTCGAAGGAAGACCCCAATTAGTTGACACCTATCACATGCAAGTTTGGGAGGCAGAGGGTCTATTCTTGTTTTCCTTACAATGGGGCCCCGTAGTGGTAATAGATTTTTACCCCACCAGGACATCACACAAGTGGTAGACACCCGATGACACAAAGTGCCACCATGTGGATGAGGATCACCGTGGAGAGGTCCCGGAAACCGCTTTCAGCCATTAGACCATATTTATGGTCGGGCTATATTGCGGCCCCTAGCAAGAGCCAGGGTGGGGCTTCAAAATAGAGAACAATCGCATCTCACAAGGAGATGACTGGATATGTTACAATGGGACCCCAGAATCCACACGGGGCTAATAGTTGAAATAATCGTACTGAAATTAAGAAGTTACAGTAACAATTGCAATAGGGTTAGTTAGTGACATAAGAAAATCACCTCTGAAGAGATATCATTAAAAGCAAAATTAGCAACAGTTGCTGTGTACTACTAAATGAGATACAGTAACGCTGGTCTGGCCAGAACGGAATGAAGCAACACAAGACAAATAAATTGTTTCATTCAAAGGGAGGTTACCCAGTATGTATATCATAGTGAGGATGGATGTAATGATTAATTCCCCTTTTCTCTCACACGGATAAATAAGCAAAGACATTTTTTTTAAATGTTCACCACAAGGAATATAAATAAAATAAGATAGCATAGGAACCGTCCTTGAAAAAGCAGGCCATCAGGCGGCTAAAAAAGGACTAAGATTGGAATTTTTGTTTGATTTTATACGATACGATTTTTAAATGTCACTTTTTCAACAGCTAGATAGAGTAGTGGCCACGGTTATTTCTAGTCTGAAACTTTTCAGTTCGAGTCCCCCAGATTTTTTTTTTTTTTTTTTACAAAACTACATTGGCTTCCAAGTCGACCAAAGCTACAGCAGCACGACGGTTTGACGAAAGTGGAATGAGTACTCCCCGTCCTTTTCAGGATGAAATTTTTCGTTATTTGAAGCCCTACTCTGGCTCTTGCCAGGGGCCGCAATATAGCCCGGCCATAAATATGGTCTAATGGCTGAACGCGGTTTCTGTGACCCCTCCACGGTGATACTCATGGTGGCACTTTGTGTCATCGGGTGTTTATCGCTTGTATGATGTCCTGGTGGGGTAGAAAGTCAGTCAGAGGGAAGTAGGGCTGTACCGAATAGTGATTTTCACTATTCGGCCGAATACGAATAGCTGGACCAACTATTCGGCCGAATACGAATACGAATAGTGAATCATCATCATCAGGTGCTTTGCCGACTGGCATGGCCGATTATGCCTCGCCACAATCTGCGATCTCCTGCAGCATGTATTAGTTCGTGTGCTGACACACCTCCATGCCATGCAACAAGACTGTCAAGAATGTTCTCTCGTTGTCTTCCTCTATCCCTCCTTCCACATATCTTTCCAGTGGTCACCACATGTTCCATTTTCCCTCATCTTATAACATGGCTGAAAAATGATGACTGGCTTCTTCTGATGTCTGTGAGTAGTTGTCTTCTGGCTCCCGCCTCTTTCAAAACCTCTTGGTTGCTTTTTTTCTGGCTGTCCAAGGTATTTTAAGCATTGTTCTGTAAAACCACATCTATGAGGCCTCAAGAAATTGTTTGGCCTGCCTACCTATTGTCCAGGACTCACAGCCATATGTTAATACTGGATATATGTAGCAAGCAAGAAAGCATTAGCTTTCAAACAAACAAACAAACAAACAAACAAACAAACAAACAAACAAACAAACAAACAAACAAACACACTCGTTCCATGTTGTCAGCATGAGGGCAGCTTATTGTCTCACTGAAGGTATTTCCAGCTGTGTTAAACAGACATTCACTTGGTACGCTCGTAGGTGGTGCACAAAAATAACGCTTGACAGTATAAACCAAGGTGGGAAATCTTGATATGTTTATTTTCCACCAGTCCAGAAAGGTAGCCACTATTCGTATTCGGCCTGACCGCAACTATTCGGCCGAATACCGAATAGTTATTAGGACCACAATTCGGCCCCGAAGCGAATACGAAGCGAATATTCGGTACAGCCCTAGAGGGAAGTGGATATCAGATCCCACCCTTACTGGACAAGGGGGTCAAATCGCAACCGTCTGTGGTACCCCAGTGGCTGCACGGTTAAACAGGGTTTCCAGGATTTGTACCGGTCTGATTCTCTTTCTTGAGATGTTAATGCTACGGTCTACAATCCTGGAGGGGGAGGGTAGAAGTGCATGCGGTCGTGGTGATGATGATGACTATACCATGGATCCAGTGCCGTTTGGTCTATACAAAATATGGCCTCAGCAGCAAATGGCTGAAATGCAAGCAGCTCAATAAGGGTCTTTCTCTTCTTCTTCGCGTTCACCAGCTGTAAACTCTGGCGGAAGGTTCTGGTTGCTCATCCACTACTGAACTGCAGTCCTGCTCCAGAAGCTGAGTGTTGCGTGTGCATCAGTTTTACAGATCTCATTCTCTTGAATACACACTGTTGGTTCCTTGCCTCTCCGGCAGATGCACTCCGACTTCAAAGGAAGCTCCCCAATTAGTCGACTCTTACGACATGCTTTTGGGGAGGCAGTGGGTCTATTCTTGTTTTCCCCACAATAGGGCCCCGGAACCCACACAGGGGAGAAGATTCAACTAAAGGGTCTTTGACTTGACTTGTTTGCTTGCTGCAGTTTTTAAAACCACAATCCCCTGTCTTGATGAAATTAATGTTTGTTTTAACACCTGCTTCAGTTTTATTTTCTTCATGTCTGCTTCAGTGTGTTATCTATAATAATAACGCATTCACACGCTACCCACACTAGAATACAGGTTACTTCCTAACGGTTTTGTGGTGCCCCAATATAACTGCACTACATGGCTATATGTCTAAAGAGGGTTTCTGATACTTTTTCAGCTGTTTGATTTTCACCCTTGAGAAGATAACCTACACAAGGCAAGCATGGAGAATGTGTTTGTGTTGGAGTGTATACGTCATTCACATCCATAAACAAAGGGGGAACCCTTCAGGCCGTATAAATATTAAATGTAACAAGCAAACAGACAATGTATTTATTGGCACTTATAGGAAGAAGTAGAAAGATAGTAGAACACACTAGACAACATAAACATCAAAAGGTATAGTTATTATGCCGGGATTGAACCTGTCACCTCTAAATGGCGTGTGCGCCTCGCACTTGTTTCCATAGCGTCGACGTTCTTGTACCCAATAGTAATAAATGTAGCCTATTGCTGAGGCTATCCAAATGTTCTGGTCAGATACAATCTCAAACACTAAGCTATTTCAAGTCACAAACCAAGAAACTTTAGACAGTTTGATAACCAAGAGAAGATGAAAATGGCTTGGCCACGTTATGAGAATAAATTCTGATATACCTGCTAAAACAGCTCTCACATGGATACCAGAGGGAAAGAGAAAACAGGGGCGCCCAAAAACAACATGGAGACGAACAATGGAAAATTACCCGAGTGCGGCATCTATGAAATAGAAAACTGCACTGAAGATTGCACAGGACAGGATAGCATGGAAAGTCCTTTCTGAAGCCTAATGTGCCAATAGGCATAATGAGAACTTATGATGATGATGATAACTGACTCTACCATTCACAACTGGGCGTGATAATGAAACAAAGAAGGAGTTAACGGGAGCTACCAGCCCCTCATTGTGGGAGTAGAGAACAACGGCTGCTACAGCAGCTTTACAATCGAGAATAAAAAGGTTTCTGTCTGTTTGTCGCCTCCGGGCTGCTCCTTAAAGGGTTGAACATTCTGAGATACAAAATCTCAAAATGGATGACAGACCAAAAGCTCACATTCTAGATACCATTTTCAACATCGAAAGCAGTTTTAACTAGAGCACCCGTGGGAGCCACATCAGCTCACCTGAACAGTGGAAGCTGCAGTCTATGCTTCTACAGATTATTGACTGTGCAGTTGTCTATGTCTATGAGTCTTCAAGAGAAATGCCCCAATTTTTCTGTTGCAAAATCAGAGAACCAAATTAATCCCAACCGATTTTTAGAATATAAAGAAGCTGAAACATGGACCATCTAGCGATGAGAAATCGCTTTACGAGAAAATGTCTTTACGCCACAGTAGAGTTTACACAACTGACTATAAATATCACAAGTTACGTTCGTACTAGAGACAAAATAGCAGATATAGATAATCTATTTCAAACCAACGAAAGAAGAAGATCTGAAGTTACTAATGTAATCAGTATGAACAAAAATACAGAACTCCCTTTTCCTATACTGGCTTGATGTGTTTATCAAAAAATACCAGAACACCGAAAAATGTTCCATATTGATTTATTCATACTAGGCAGATCACAGCTACAAAATATTACTACACCATCGTTTGCGCATACATTTCATTATTTATTTGTATAGATTCCTTTGTTGGATTACATCTTTAGAAAATGCGAAAATGTCGGTTAGCGACAACGACTTTATTAAAACGATGATTGCTGTGGAGCGAACGATGAAGAAAAAAGTAATCCCACATTGTGGCGCCAGCGTGAGCACAGCACATACATTCCGCATGATAATTACGCCCAGAGAGCGCCGGCTGTTGAGTGTGTCAAAGGAATAAAGAGAGCACTCGCCTGTTTGTGGTTTGTTTTTGTTTAGGGCAGGCATCGTTAGCCTTGTATTTCATCAGCATGGCTCATTTGGAAGCTTCACTAGGCAAAGATGTGATAGGAAAAGACGGTAGTACTGTGGAGGTCAGTTCGCTGGTAGACTATGAACTCTTAGGTAAGTAGAAAACTAATCTGTTATTGGTTGTCGAGGCTGTTGACTTCTCGTCGCATAGTCTTTATTATTTTTTTTTTTTTTTTATGTGGACGTTCTTTGGTTTGTATGTGAGAAAGATCATTTTGACCTCGTACCAAGCTACAACAGTATACATGTCTGACTCAATGCTTACCAATCTGCCTGTCTGTCTGTGTACATCAACCTGCCTCTCTTTCTGTTCTATATCTCTAGGTCTGTATGTCTCTTTTTTTGCAGAATTATCTGCTTATCAATCTGCCTGTTCGTCTGTCTAGCTTACCTATTTATCTACCTACCTACTGCCTGTCATCTCCTTTAAACACACACACACACACACACACACATATATATATAGATCCTTTAGCCAGTCTGTCTGCCTATTTGTCCATTTACCTAACCGTCTATCTACTGTATTTACCTAACTTCCAACCCGGTCTTCTGTCAGTCTGTATACGTAGCCACCTTCCTGCTTACGTCATCAACCTACAGCTGTTTTAATCTGGTTTATTGTCTGCATTAACTATGTTTACAACTGTCTGTCTGTACAGCTTATTTACTTATAGTTTTGTCTGACCATCTTGTGAAATTGTGAGGCCCCCCCCCCCTTTCCCACGCCCCGCGCTCCATTTACTTGCATATTTACGTACTAGCGACAGTATGCCTGTTTAAATACAGTAGACTGCAATATCGGGGCTTATGTGGCCGAAGAGTACGCCGAAAAATCAACAAACAAACAACAAACATCCTGATACACTAGAGTTCTATAAATATTCAGTTTCTACCCAACCATATAATTAAAAACATGTTCTGGGGCTCCATTGTTGGAAAAACAAGAATAGATCCACTGCCTCCCAAACAAGCATGTCGTAAGAACTGACTCATTGTGGGTGGGGGGAGTGGGGTCCTTCGAAGTCGGAGTACATCTGCCTGAGAGGCAAGGAACCAACAGTCTGCATACAAATAAGTAGGATCTGTAAAACGGATGTGCACGCAACACTGTGTCCTGGAACAAGTCCAAAGTAGAGATGTGGAGGAACAACCAGAACTTTCCGCCGGAGTTAACATCCTGTAAACGGGAAGAAGAAGAAGATTAAAAACACCCTTGCTATACCAAAACCTGATTTCTTGGTACAGGTCTGCACTTTAGAAATGTATTTCGTTCGTTTGAAAGGGAAGTCTAAAAATGAACAGCGTTTTCATTTCAGGTTAAGATTTATCTGTTTCACTTAACCGCAGGGCAAATAAAATCAATGTACACCTTACAGTTTAAATACTCACACACATATTCACAATGCATAAAACATTAATGTGGACGTTGTGTAACCTTTAAAAATTATTGACATATTTTTTAAAACTGTTAATTGATAAGTAATGACACAACTGAAAACTTGTGGAGCTTTTGAGGAGGAGATCGGAGCACCTATGGATCTGTCCGGAGTGCTGTGAAGATAATCCTTTCTAATAACTAATACAACCGAGAAAAGGAAGAGTGAAAAACTTGACAGTTTTTAATTTCTGTAAAAATCCTTGTTGGATGTCTGCATGCTTCAGACATGATGTACTCCTCCTAGACGCAGTCTCTCTCCACTTTCATCAGCAGATTATGCCAGCTGACAGTTTCCACTGTCGTCAGTTGAAGAGAGCAGGTTCAATTCCCGCTATGGTGACCGAAGCTTTCAAGTGTTATGTTGTCTTCGATATTTCTACTTCATTCTGCGACTGCCGATCAACATATGTCCATTTGCTTATTTTATATATGTATATATATATACACACACACACACACACACACACACACACACACACACACACACACACCACACACACACACACACACACACACACACACACACACACACACACACACACACACACACACACACACACACACACACACACACACAACACACACACACACACACACACACACCACACACACACACACACACACACACACACACACACCACACACACACACACACACACACACACACACACACACACACACACACACACACACACACACACACCACACACACGCCACACACACCACACAAACAAACACACAGCACACACACACACACACACACACAACACACACTCACACGCGCGCGCGCGCGCGCGCGCGCACACACACACACACACACACACACACACACACACACACACACACACACACACACACACACACACACACACACACACACACACACACACACACACACACACACACACACACACACACACACACACACACACACACACACACACACACACACACACACAGAGACTATTTCTACAGCCTCAGAGGTCCCCTATCTGACATTTCTTTACTTTATTTCCCTTGTCTGCTTGTCTATATGTACGCCCGCCTGTTGTCGGTTTCACACAAACATCCATCTTTAGCAAGAAGAGATCACAGGAAGATCGATCTAGGGATCACAGACGTCGGTGCCACTTTGTCGCTGGTGCGTGTCTTCCGCCCGTGCTTGTCTGTGTGTGTCCACACCATCTGTATGCACGGCGGAGGACACAGACAGTGTCAACATCAACGAACTCCTAAGAAGGCTGTAGCTGTATGGTGTGTGTTTGTGTGTGTGTGTGTGTGTGTGTGTGTGTGTGTGTGTGTGTTTGTGTGTGAGGGGGGGGGGGGCTTTCATTTATGTATATGTGTGTGCCCGCGTATAGTGTGTGAATGTGTGCCAGAATAAAAATAAAATGAACGTGTTGCATGTTCGGTTGTGTAAACAGATGAGTTTGCATGTGTACGCCCTGGGTGGGTGCGAAGCTGGGTGTGTTTGTTTATACCTGGTGAGAAGGCAAGTGTCGTATTTTCTACATTTGGGCTCACAGATATGTAGGAGTAGTTTGTGTATGTGTTCACGCCTGGGTAATAATGTAGGTGTCATTTTTGAGTGTGTATGTATGCATTCGCTCGCGCCCGTTCCACCGCTAAAGAAGTTATAATTGTTACCACCCATAATGACCACATAAGCCTGAAACTTGTCATGACAAATATTTTGTTGTCGTTAATCATCATCAACATCATGCTGTTGTGCGCCGTTATATTTTATACAGAGGTGACTGTCTGGTATTTTTTTTTTTTTCTGACCGTGATGGGCCCAGTATGTTACGATATTTTGTGTCCTATAGCTGACCATAGAAACGGTTGTCGAGACACATTTTTTTTTTGGTCCAACTGATTACGACTGGATGTTTCTAGACAACTGTTATCGCATAACTGATGAAACGAATAATTGTCTAGATCTAGACAACTTTTGTCAGGTAACTGATCATATCAACGGTAGTCTAGTCAACTGTTGTTATCGGATAATTGATGAAACGAATGGTGGCCTAGTCAACTTTTGTCACATAGATTATGAAACAAATGATTGTGTACACAATTTTTGTCTGATAACTGATGAAACAAACGGTTGTCTACACAACTGTTGTCAGATAACTGATGAAACGAATGGTTGCCTTGACAACTGTTATCACATAACTGATGAAACGAATAGTTGTCTAGACAACTTTTATCTTGTGTATTTTATCAGATAACTGATGATATCAGCGGTTGTCTAGACAACTGCTGTCGTATACTTATGGGTTTTATGAGATAATTTATAAAATGAACGCTTGTCTAGACAACTTTTGTCACACAACTGATTATATGGATGGCTGTCTAGACAACTTTTGTCACACAACTGATTATATGGATGGCTGTCTAGACAACTTTTGTCACACAACTGATTATATGGAGGGCTTTTTAGACAACTTTTGTCACACAACTGATTATATGGATGGCTGTCTAGACAACTTTTGTCACACAACTGATTATATGGATGGCTGTCTAGACAACTTTTGTCACACAACTGATTATATGGATGGCTGTCTAGACAACTTTTTTTTAACTGACTTACCGACTTGTATTCCCCAGGTGTATACTTCTCTGCCCAGTGGTGTACCCCTTGTCGCAACTTTACACCTGTACTCACTGACTGCTACAACAAATTAAATGCAGCAGGTAAAAGGTGGGAGATCATTTTCATCAGCCTGGACAAAGACGAGGAGACCTGCAAGGAACACTACGAATCTATGCCCTGGCTTCTATTTCCGTTTGAAAATGATTTGAAGGTAGCTAGTTTGTCACATATTGCCAGTGAAAATGATTTGAAGGTAGCTAGTTTGTCACATTTTGTCAGTGAAATGATTTGAAGGTATCTAGTTTGTCACATATTGTCAGTGAAATGATTTGAAGGTAGCTAGTTTGTCACATATTGCCAGTGAAAATTAACCTGTTCAGCCTATATTGATTGATTTGGCTTGTCTTTCAAAGTGTTTTCTTCTCTACTTGTTGTTGTCTGTGTCCAGAGGGGCTATCTGGGGACTGCTTCTCTTTGGTCTCGTGTGTGTGCGTGCATGTGGGTGGGCTGAAGATGGATGGGAGCAGTGGGGTCTGTCTCGTGTTACTTCCTGTTGGCATTGCCCTGAGAAGGCCTACAAGACCTGTTCTGGTCTCTTCTTCACTATACAATAAAAACTTAGGCTAACACAGCTTCAGTTTGCCAGGTGGGATGGGATCTGACAGGTTAAATTCTGACTTAAACTGACAGAAAAAAAGCCTCTATGTCATTTTTTTTAAACATTGAAGGTCACCACTGTGGATAAACAATTGTTTATCTGTGTTATATATATATATATATATATATATATATATATATATATATATATATATATATATATATATATATATATATATATATATTATATATATATATATATATATATATATATATATATATATATATATATGTGTGTGTGTGTGTGTGTGTGTGTGTGTGTATGTGTGTGTGTGTCGTCTTTATGTTTTGACCTGTGCTTAAGTAAAAGCATTATTCTTTGTTTTAATGCTTATTGTACTTTTTAAATATCTATAGAGTGTCCAAAAAGTCACTGAACATTATACATATATACATTTTTGTGACACAGCACACAAGTATTTTAAAAGTGTCTAGCAAAGTTGCCATCTAGTGAGGTTTTTTACTTTACTTCCCACAACTTTCTCTGCTACCCATTTAAAGCTAGGCTGATCTGAGAGCCAATGTCTTAAAAAAAATTTTTTTTTATCAGATTCCGTTAGGATCTGAACTTATGACTTTTGGATGTACATGGGAGCACCTAGCTGCTACAACACCATGGCAACTTCCTCTGCTCATTTATAATGTGGCAAAGAATGATGACCGTCTCTTTCTACCTTACAGCAGTATATTATTAGGAATTAGTTTAATCTTGTCTTAATTATTATAATCTTTTTTTTCTTCTTGCATTCACTGACAATAAACTGTGGTTCTCCATCCACTCCAGGACTTGGTCTTGTTCCAAATTTTCAGTTTTAGGTTGCAAATCAGTTTGACAGCTCTGGCTTATTTGTATAGGTGCAGTCTGATTTTAAAGGAAACACCCCTTATTAGATGCCTTCTTTGACAGGCACTCTCAGTCCCCCAACCAAAAAAAAAAAAAAATTAGGATCCTACAAGTAACATAATGAAATTATTGTTATGATCTTAAGGACGTTCCTAACTAATGTTAATTTAATTTCCTGGATCGCATCAAGTCTCAGACACTATATTTGTTTTAAATCATTGTTATTTAACTTATTCAGTACCAAATAACTCAGTATTTATACCAGTAACTTGTTTCACTATATGCTTTCTTAACTTAATTGTGTGAAATAACAGCTGCTTCCAGTAGACTGAGCTAAAGCAAAGATATATGAGACTGAAAGATAAAATTGATTGGCTAATCAATCAGTAGAAAACAGTAAAACAGGAAGAGAGGGTGGGGGGACTCTGGGGTCTGGGGAAAATGAGAACTGTTTCTTTGAACTGGTCTCATAAACTAATGTTCTTTCATAATCGCTTTCAAATATACATTCCAATATAATGTACATTTCAGTTTACACACAGACACACACACACACACACTTTTACTGAGATACGGAGGAGTAAATGACTATGGGAATAAAATTTATAATCCTTTTGAAACAAAAATTAATGTAGAAATAGGCTTTCCTACACGTATTTCTATGACAGACTCTTGGTTTCGACTAACTGTAGTACTATGGCTAACTAATAACATGTCTTTTTCTGTCTATTGACAGGACAAGAATTCAAATAAGTCTGTGAGTAGGCTGCATTTTCTCTGCTTGTAGAATATTTGTTTTTCACTATGTTGTGTTTATACTTTTCTAGGTTTCTAACATGACCATATGATTTCTGACAATACCACCTACTACACTGGGTAGAATTCTTTGTAACTGTGAAAGCCCCAGTGTCTTATATTTTATATGGCTGAATGGGGTTTCTGGGCACTTTTTTACTTCCCATCCATATAGTGGCTTCTTGAGTCACTGGGTATACCCCTGTATCTTTCAAGCTGCAATCCCAAAGAGAGTGGGGGTGGGGGGGGGGAGGAGGGTATGATCAGATATATTTATTTACAAAAAAGGGAAATACAAATAGTAGCTGTATGGTAGGACTATGTGAAGTTCCTCTTTAGATGTGATACAGATAAAAAGGAGAAAGCATCTTTTAAAAGACTTATATGCTCTATAAGCTTTGAATAATGTGCTATCTGCATGTAATCAAAGTGTTTAGCACAAAAACTAAATTTTTTTACCGTTGGTTATGTATCATCATAATGATAATTTTGAAAAATATGACTTTTGTCACAGCCTTCCTCTTTACCCCCCCCCCCCCTTTTTCCTCCCTCCATATTTAGTCTCTAGTCAGTTATCTCCCCACCTCAAACGTTACAATAAATGTTATTTGTGAACGTTGTTTGTGGGCAACTTTCTGAGATATGACAGTTTATGAGGAGGTATACTCAGATGTTCCAGTCTACTTCAGTTCTTGTCCTACCAATAGATAGAGAGAAAAAGATACACTGTTAGCTATCACGTACTTTAAACCATTCTTTTATTTATTATTGTTTTGTTTCCCTTGTATTCATGTCTACTGCATCACATAATGTATTCATACTATAGTTGACTATTTTGGTGTTGTGTTTTGTATTTTGCTGTTGTTTTGCTGATGAAGGCTAATAACAGCAACATCCTTTGCTTGTTTATTGTTGTTTGTTATGTAAAGCTGTCATATGTTTTTGTGTTGCTGATTGTTATTAGATCTTGTAGGATATTAAAATTTTCATCCTTTTTTTCACACAGGGTGTACCAGTGTTTTTCTGTAAGACTGCGTTTGATAAAAAGTGAAGGTACTAATTCAGTAACCCAAGATCCCCATGTGAGTTCTGCGGCCCATTGTGGGGAAAGCAAGAATAGACCCACTGCCTCCCCCAACAAGCATGTCGGAAGAGTAGACCTATTGGGGGTTTTCTTCTAAATCAAAGTGCATCTGCCTGAGAGGCAAGGAACCAACAGTCTGCATACAAATAAGTCAGATCAGTAAAATGGATGTTCACACAACACTCAGGTTCTGGAGCAAGTCCAAAGCCAGAGGTAGATGAATAACCGGAACTTTCGTTTGGAGTTTGCAGCCGGTGATTGTTAAGAAAAAGAAGAAGAGTTACCAAAGAAATTAAGGTTTAAGGGGTGTCTAACTAGATAATTATCTCCTGCAGCTTCTATAGGTTTTTAAAAACTTTCTTGTTTTTGTTTTATAAAAAAATTATTAAACTAGTTGTATAATTTTCTGTGTGTGTGCACTTTTCTGTTGTGCTCAGTTTTCTTTTATAAGTATTTATTATTCTCACATTTATTTATATATCAGGGCATGTGATACTGTCTGTATAATCATGCCTATTTGGTACATAGCTTTAACTGTTTCTAATTTAACTTAGTGAGTCAACTGATGAAACTTGACTGCATACAGAATGAAATCATGGGGGTAATTCTGGGATGTACCAGTGATACTCCAGTGGTGTGATGTGATGGTACTTGCACGCCAACTGTTGCGAATAGACTCAAAGTTCTGCAATATAAAGTCATATCTCAGAGTAGCTGCAGATAAGAAGTACCTTCTGCATGAAGCCTTAAATAAAACTAAGGGTCACAGACTGAAAATAGAAAGGTCTTGGATGGTGCAAGTTGAAGACACATTAGACATGTGTCCATGTTCAACAATATTCAGTGAGGTGAAGAGTGGGTCAAAGTAGCCCAGCAACAATCAGACCTGGGGTAGGTTTCTAATCACATTGGTGCAGGAGTGGAGATTCAACAACTAATTCAACAACTGATTCAACTGATTCAACAACTGATTCAACAACTGATTCAACAACTGATTCAACAACTGATTCAACAACTGATTCAACAACTGATTCAACAACTGATTCAACAACTGATTCAACAACTGATTCAACAACTGATTCAACAACTGATTCAACAACTGATTCAACAACTGATTCAACAACTGATTCAACAACTGATTCAACAACTGATTCAACAACTGATTCAACAACTGATTCAACAACTGATTCATGACAATTATCTACACAGATGGCTCTGAGCTGAGCGACAGAAGAAGTATTTTTGGGGTTCATAGCCAAAGTAAATGGGTGTTGCTTAGTGCACACACAACAACAAAAACCTGGCGTAGGATGCCACAACATCTGGTTTGAGAATGGAGGTGGAGGCAGTCACTGCAACCTTCTTCTGGTTTGAAAACCAACTGCATACACATGTTGTGATTGTAACTGGCTCACAGAGCATGTTTGGAAAGGTGGAAACAGGTATGCTGTGTTCAGGGTGGCAAGATTCCTTTTTGAGGTCCCCACATTCTTTGAGAAATGTACCCAGGGCATGCAGGTGTGTTGGAAAATTAACAAACAGAGAGACTACCTGGTTCTGCACCACTTTGTGGTAAATTGATGCATGAATAGTTTTTTTAAAAAAATGCAATCTTTCTGGATGCAGTTTTGAATACCTTTGGACTGGCAGACAAGCATCTAGCAGCTACACAGTGATGGCTTCTTTGTACTCTCTAGTACATGTGGAAGTATCCTAATTTCTTTCCACTTTAGGTGGCTGTGTTGGGGTAGTGGCTAGATACTCCACCAAGCTCAAAGGTCTTGGTTTCAAATCCGCATCAGATTTTTAAAAAAAAGATCTTGACTGCCAAGTCAACCAAATCTAAAATGGGTACAGGTAAAGTCTTGGGAAGTAAAGGTGGCCGGCGTAATGTTGACCACATCACCTTCATGATTCTAGCTTCATATCCCTTATGCGCCACTGGCGTGAAAAGCGTCGGCTACTTGACCCACTTTTCTCTATACTCTTTCATTCATGAGAAGTTACAAATAAAAACATAATTTTCACACAGAAATCTTTCAGAAAACTGAAAGAATGAAGTGATAAAAATTCACTCCAGTGTTATTTGTTTTCTCACAATCAAAAATTGAAAGCACATTTTGTGCAACAGGTAAGATGAAACACAATGAACTTAGTGTTGGCTAGTTGTTTGGTACCATAGTGTTAGTACTGGCCATAAGAGTTATAAGTACTAACATACTTCCCATAACTACTTACATACCTTCCATAACTACCTACATACTTCTCATAACTACCTACATACCTTCCATAACTACTTACATACTTCCCATAACTACCTACATATCTTCCATAACTACTTACATACTTCCCATAACTAGCTACATATCTTCCATAACTACTTACATACTTCCCATAACTGCCTACATATCTTCCATAACTACTTACATACTTCCCATAACTAGCTACATATCTTCCATAACTACTTACATACTTCCCATAACTACCTACATACCTTCCATAACTACTTACATACTTCCCATAACTACCTACATACCTTCCATAACTACTTACATACTTCCCATAACTACCTACATATCTTCCATAACTACCTACATACTTCCCATAACTACCTACATATCTTCCATAACTACCTACATACTTCTCATAACTACCTACATATCTTCCATAACTACCTACATATCTTCCATAAGCACTTACATACTTCCCATAACTAGCTACATATCTTCCATAACTACTTATATACTTTTTATAACCACCTACCTACCTTCCATAACTACTAACATACTTCCCATAACTACCTACATACCTTACATAACTACCTACATACTTCCTATAACTACCTACATACCTTCGATAACTACTTATATACTTTCTATAACTACCCACATACCTTCCATAACTACCTACATACTTCCTATAACTACCTACATACCTTCGATAACTACTTATATACTTTCTATAACTACCCACATACCTTCCATAACTACCTACATACTTCCTATAACTACCTACATACCTTCGATAACTACTTATATATACTTTCTATAACTACCCACATACCTTCCATAACTACCTACATACTTCCTATAACTACCTACATACCTTCGATAACTACTTATATACTTTCTATAACTACCCACATACCTTCCATAACTACCTACATACCTTCCATAACTACTTACATACCTTCGATAACTACTTATATACTTTCTATAACTACCCACATACCTTCCATAACTACCTACATACTTCCTATAAATACCTACATACCTTCGATAACTACTTATATACTTTCTATAACTACCCACATACCTTCCATAACTACCTACATACCTTCCATAACTACCTACATACCTTCGATAACTACTTATATACTTTCTATAACTACCCACATACCTTCCATACCTTACCCTTTATATACAATTTCCATGAGAAAATTTTCAACAATTGAACAGTTCCATCTGCGACGTGAGGTCGGGCATTATCGTGCAAAAGCACAATTCCAGATGACAGCAACTCACGTCTTTTTTTGGGCACACAAGATTTTTGTATCCAAGGTTTCTTGTCACAATGTCGTAAATCAGAAGAAGTTAAACTTTGGAAAATTGGACAGACGATGTAGAAATTGTGAAAAGACAATTTTCCAGAATTTTTTTGGTTCATTTCTTCGACCAGATCGTATGTCACTACACTCGACCGACCGCTATGATCTTCATCATGGAGATTTGTTCGCCCTTCTTTAAACATTCGACACCATTTCCTAACCATACTATCAGTCATAACATCTGGCTCATAAACCTGTCAGTTACCTGTGAATTTCCACTGCACTGTTGTTTTTACCAGCAAACAACGGATTACAGCATGAACGTCACAGCAAGTGAAAGTATTATTTTTTGCACTCATTATAAATCACTCACACCCAGCATCGTACAAGATTTTGACAGTGACAAAATAGCACACAGCTAGCTAATTAACCACATAAACATAATGCATATACACATTTACTTTTCCATCGGGTTTTGTGGCTGTGGTCAAAATGAGGCACGCCTCGTAAGAAAGGTGATGGTACTTCCCACAAAGTATCTATTACAGAAGTATTGCAGAAAAGAACTGCAGGTACTGTGTAACATAGTGCACTTTCAGAAACAAAGCCCTGCAGATGCCTACACTCATATCCCCTCTGTCATAATGTCCCTGCAATTTCACAGCTGAAGACTTGTTATGGGAATACAGAAAAAGAAAACTTCTCAGGACATTTCCCCAGCCAAACTTTCATGTTCGAGACAATTTACCAAAGTTCAGGCTGTTCTGTATTCAAATAATGAGTTGATGACACCCTGACACATACACCTGTCTTTGGCTAACTCCCCTGTTTGGGTTCTCTCCCCAGGAACAACTCTCAGACAAGTATGGAGTCACAGCAATTCCAACACTGCTTTTACTTGATCCAAAAACTGGTGACCTAGTTTCAGACAATGGAATCGATCTGGTGGAACAAGACCCAAGTGGAGATAAATTTCCTTGGAAATAGACTAATCACTTGCAACTGTGGAACCAAGTGTGTTTGCTTCATGTACATTGTATTACACATTTGTGATAATTTATTATTGTAGATCACTATACATTTAAACATTTTCATTTCACAGCTGATAAATATGTGCTTTTGAACGTGAGAGAACAACTAATGTAGACTGTTACTGCACAGACAACAAAGATGAACTTTATACATGCCTACACGTAATTTAATTTATAAATATAATACAAGCTATAACCTGGCTGGAGTTGCTGACCTTGATTCTCACATGTTTTCTCAGCAACTCACTGAGTATCCTGAGAAAGATGGAGAAGAGCTGGGACCAAGAACAGTGGTTGGTGTCTCTGTGGTGGTAATGGCAGTCAAAGATTGGTTTCATTTTTGTGAAAGGTAATGCTGGTAAAAAAGTAAAAGTCGGGAAATGTGAACCAGCGTCATTGCACACAGTTATAAACCATAAGTACCAGTACAGACAGCTGATAAAAATTGTCCGCCTGTGTCACCGTCCGCACACAACTCTGTAGCTACAGCAACGTTCCTCCATTTACACCAGAGTGTTAGCTCTGGTACCCATTTTCTAGAGGCTGGATGAACCCCCGGAACCACCCGGTTCCGAACACTGGTCATGGGCTGCAACGAGTCGCAGCTGGATTTGAAAATCAGGTTCCTATCGACTGCGTTAACACGGCCCCAAGGTAGTGCAGATGTAAAAGGGCATGATAAAGCTGATAGCCTTGCAGATAAGACTGCTGTGAACAGTGGACAAGCAATCGGCCAGGCTCGTATACTGAATGCTCTACGAGAAGTAAAGTCCTCATGGCGTTGGTGGCTAGATGCCCGCCTGGGAATCGGAAGGTCGTGGATTCGCGTCCTGGTGGAGCCGGATTTGAAAAAAAAAAAAGTCCTGGGAAGTAAAGGCAGCTGATGTGATGTTGACCACATCACCCACCCAGTGCCGATTGGTCTATAAAAATAGAGGTCTAGCCCTATATGCCCAATACCCCTGAAGGCGTGGGAAAGGATTCTTTACTTGTGTATTTACTATGAGAAGTAAGACATTTGTGTGAACCAATGATTACTGTTCACCTGTAACCATGATTGGGCTGCAAGGGAAATTAAGTGGGGTCAGAGAAAAGCACTTTACAGGAGGCCAAAGATGAAGAAAAAGCCAATACAGAACTGATATTGTCAGTCATTACATGTTGAGGGATTTCCTGAGGAGGGAATCCAAGCACCTATTGACTGAATGTACAATGAGAATGACCTGCTGAATAAGTCATTCATAATTTATGTACAGATTTGTTCTCTTCTCTAGGCTTTGGACACATTCTTTGCCTAAGTTATTGCAGGGTCAGTGGTTTAAACAAAAGTAAAGAAAATCTCATGGCAGAGGCAGCTGCTGGGTGTGAAGTGTTGGACTGTCACATATTCTAGGCTAGGCTAAATATTGGGAAGGGGGGGGGGGGTGGCATATTTCTTCTACTGTGACCTTTACTTCTCAGAGAATCTCATGAGAGTGTTGTCCCATCGGACAAGTTGCTTCAAGCAGATACACTGAGGAATACTGAGAGAGTGATTAATGATTCTCTGGTAGATATACAAGACAATGAGTCGTCTAATTTGTATCATTTATAATTATTTGTGGCATTGTCAGCTGTGATCACAGGCAGAGGTGGCATAACCAGCAAATGCATTAACATCATCATCCCTACTCTATATCACCTGTGGAGAGAGGGAGACTGAGCGTGTGTGGGTGTATTCTGAGTGCAAGAACATCAATTGTAGTGAAGCAACCAGTCAGCTAAGACATGCTCTGCATAGCCTTATTTCACCCTTGTGGGTTCTGCATTGTGGGGGGGAAGAGAATAGACCACTTTCCCCATGACAATTATGTCATAAAGGTCGACTAATTAGGAGTGTTCCTTCAAAGTTGGTGTGTATCTGCAATGAGAGGTGAGCAACCCAACATTCTGTATACAAATAAGCTAGAACAAGACCAAAACCCAAATATGGATGAACAAACAGAACTTTCCACCAAAGTTTACAGCCTTTGAGTGCTAAACAGAAAAAGAAGAAGGAGGTTTATGACCAGGCTGCCATATCTCTCTGGCTTTTGGCTCAACAAATCTGATTTCAGCAAGTTCCTAAATAGTTGCCTTTTATAACAAACTTCGTAGAAGTCAGTGGGTCTGTCTCAATAGCCAAGAGAAGATGCTGTTTGTGTGTCAGTTTTCCTTGATATTCAGATCTTTTCGGATGTAAGTATTTCTTTTCTTCTTGGTCCATTCTTCTTGTGACAATAACTAATTAGGTCTGCTATGTTTCTAATGCTAGTACTAGCAACATGTTTGTTTATTACAATTACAGAGACCTTCTAAAGCCCCCACCAACTCCCAATACACACTCACACAAAACCAAAAACACACAAAGTATATAAAATTGCCCTACTGGGTGCAGAGATATCTATCAGCTTTATGTTATTATTTTGACTGACTTTGGCATGCATAAGTGTGAGCTTGACTTTTCTGGATTGTTTCCATTCAAGGTAGATTGTTCTTTCTATATGTGGGTAGGTTTACTTTCCTCACAGTTTTTGGCACTGCTGCAGTCTAATGTCCTACTCTGTTTCTGTCTGCGACTAGATTTTTAGCATGCACAACTTGCATGACTTTTTAATCATTATCTAAGAAGGCTGTGTATCCTATTTCACCACATTAAAAGTTAAACTGATGTGTGAAGTCACTGTATACCAGGCGTTTTTGTAAAAATACCAGCTCTTTGTTGGGACGTGAAAGCCTTGGGCAGATGCTGTAATATCTCAGTCTCTTCTCCATTTGAAGCTACAAAACAAAGTTTAGGGACATGTATAATATCCCTACTATTGAGTAGCTATTAGGCATGGATGCTTATTAATGAGAGCAGAAACAAGAAGGCCACGCTATTAATTTTTCATAAACGTAATGCACTACAAGTTTTCCATTCCAACACCCGCAAGTTTTTCAATGTACAAATGATTTCCAGCTTTATTAGTTGTGTAGATTCTAGCAGTAAGAAAGCTTGGAAGCTTGAGTCTAGTGAACATTGTTACTGTGCTTGCTTGGGTTTATGTTGACTGTACATTTTGTTGGCCAAGCATGTAATGTAGCTTTTAAAGAACATAAATTTTTATCATTTTGCTGTAGAGAGGTTAACAAGATTTTAATTGTTTAATCTGACACAAGATCCTCACTTTACAATAATTAGAGTGAAATTTACTCAATTTTTCAGAATTAAAAGCAACAAATATTTGTTGTTATCTTTCATATCTTGTCATGAATTTGTTATGTACAGTTGCGGCATGTGATTGTCTGCTTATGGAATATGTTGCAGATTGCTTAGATTTATTACATACGTTTATGTTTGAAATCTGTTCACAAAAACACAAAAATGTGTCAACATTTTAAATTCATACTTGAACATGAACACATGAAGAAATTGTTATACAGATGATATCTGGGAAAACTTGTGAGCAGTACGAGCTGCTGATGTACTTAAACACCAACTGGGGATGAGCAGTGTTGCAAATGGTTTGCAGGAAATTAATTTCTAGACCTTTTTGTGTGTGGAAATCTAGACTTCATAGGTGACTTAACTCTTGAGTCCCAGAGGGTTTAGCATCACAGGCCCAAGGGGTTTAGCATCACAGGCCCAAGGGGTTTAGCATCACAGGCCCAAGGGGTTTAGCATCACAGGCCCAAGGGGTTTAGCATCACAGGCCCAAGGGGTTTAGCATCACAGGCCCAAGGGGTTTAGCATCACAGGCCCAGGGGGTTTAGCATCACAGGCCCAAGGGGTTTAGCATCACAGGCCCAAGGGGTTTAGCATCACAGGACCAGGGGGTTTAGCATCACAGGCCCAAGGGGTTTAGCATCACAGGCCCAAGGGGTTTAGCATCACAGGCCCAAGGGGTTTAGCATCACAGGCCCAAGGGGTTTAGCATCACAGGCCCAAGGGGTTTAGCATCACAGGCCCAAGGGGTTTAGCATCACAGGCCCAAGGGGTTTAGCATCACAGGCCCAAGGGGTTTAGCATCACAGGCCCAAGGGGTTTAGCATCACAGGCCCAAGGGGTTTAGCATCACAGGCCCAAGGGGTTTAGCATCACAGGCCCAAGGGGTTTAGCATCACAGGCCCAAGGGGTTTAGCATCACAGGCCCAAGGGGTTTAGCATCACAGGCCCAAGGGGTTTAGCATCACAGGCCCAAGGGGTTTAGCATCACAGGCCCAAGGGGTTTAGCATCACAGGCCCAAGGGGTTTAGCATCACAGGCCCAAGGGGTTTAGCATCACAGGCCCAAGGGGTTTAGCATCACAGGCCCAAGGAGTTTAGCATCACAGGCCCAAGGGGTTTAGCATCACAGGCCCAAGGGGTTTAGCATCACAGGCCCATGGGTTTAGCATCACAGGCCCAAGGAGTTTAGCATCACAGGCCCAAGGAGTTTAGCATCACAGGCCCAAGGAGTTTAGCATCACAGGCCCAAGGAGTTTAGCATCACAGGCCCAAGGGGTTTAGCATCACAGGCCCAAGGGGTTTAGCATCACAGGCCCAAGGGGTTTAGCATCACAGGCCCAGGGGGTTTAGCATCACAGGCCCAAGGGGTTTAGCATCACAGGCCCAAGGGGTTTAGCATCACAGGCCCAAGGGGTGGCCGAGAGAGATGTAAAATCGGCGCATCATGCGTTTATTGGGTTTCTAGGCAGTAACCTATGAACGTTTGATGCGTTCCTTGGGACTCAAAGAGTTAACAAGAGTAGCAGAACAGATTGCCTTAAACCTTGGTGGAAATGTGTCGACTTGAATTTTCAGGTCATGTAAGCCTAAAACTGATGACAGGAAATTTGGTAGGGAGTACAGACGACAGTTTGTGAGATACTGACCTGATCTCCTGCTGAATGCTAAAAGCTGTATACAAATATGAGGTTTGTAGCAATGGCCAGTGTGTGCAGAAAAAAAGGTTCT